GAGTATATACATATATAATAGTATATATATATATATATATGTTTATATATATATATATATATATATAATTTTTAAAGTTTACAAAAATACATGTACATAAATGTGGCAAGTCAAACCAGTCACTCCTTGCAAAAATTGATTAGTTTAGTTAAATGTAAAATGAAAGCTGTATAATGGTAAAAGAATCATTTAAATCCGACATTTCATTATGAAGTTACAAGAGTTTAACCATACAGCTGTTTAAAGAAAAATATTTGAGAAATATTCCTTAAAAGTTTACGATTTTGGGCATTTCTCAGGCAGAAACCCTCACCAAATCATTAAAAATTGTTATTTTAACATAGAAAATGGAGAAAATGATAACATACCATGATGCATTATAGATACTATATAAAGGTTAGTTTTAAGTGCAATAAGATAGATTTCACAAATTTTGACATTCCAGCATGTTTTGGCCATTATCTCAGAAAACGCAATTTGTGACGAGTGACTGGTTTGGCTTTTCTTTGCCACAAATGTTTCAATTAAAATTAATAAAAAAATAAAAATGTAAAAGTCCTTAAAATGGCCAGTTGAATATGTATTTAGATATGCATATTCAATGTATTGGGCAGAATGAACAATTCTTATATCCTGCAGTATCAGTTGGCCAGAAATGTAAATAACTGCAAGTCGCCTAAAATTTGAGGTAAAATGTTGTACTTGTTGCTTCTAATTCATAAATTCTGGTACATACTGATAAATTCTTCTCTATATTACTAATACACACGTGCAGATTAATATTCTATTGAACTTGGAAATTTGTTCCTTCTTCAGAATGAAGTTCAAAGGTCGGTGTTTGCCAAGAGACGTCAACTGAATAGAGCTTTTGACATTCTTAAAGTATTTAACGGCAAACAATTCACAATACCTTGGGTACGGTGGAAAGTGGTCATGAAATTGGTAGTCCCTCATCGAAGCGAAGTGTTGATCAGGCTATTATGGGATATCATTGATGAGGATGACGATGGTCAGATAGGTCAGTGGCGTGTCCTGCTTTTCTTTTGATTGACCACCAATTTCTAAGCTGTAGCTTCAATTGAACATACAGTAGCCGACTCATGTTTAAAATTTTGAGGTGTCATCATTTTAATTTCAATGTGTTTTCGTCTGTCCATAACCGGGGAGTTATTGCATATTGTGCCCGCTTTGGTGCATTTAAAAATGCAATTTTTACAATTAAAAGGCAAATGGAGGTATGAATATTAACTGCAGCCTGTTTTCCACTAGTCAAATTTATTCCCTCGAATGGAAAGCATCAGCTGATGCGCATGCGCATTTACATTTCTGTCATATGTTTGATTGTCAAAAAAAAAGACCAATACACATATGCCTACATTAAATGTAGATTTTTGGCACTGTTTAAAAGTTGTGCCATATAAACCCGGTGCACATTCAAAAATTGACTTACAGGTCAACAACAGACTTTTCATGCATTTGCTTCTTAGGGTCAATATTTTTTCAACATTGCCCTCAAAAGTTTACACTAATTTCTTATTCTTTTTTCTCCATTTTTTCATTTGCACAGGTAAGGCTGAATTTATGCATGTGGCGGACCTATTGAATACCGAGATCTCCGAGGTTGCTGATCGTATTCCACTAATCGGTAGAACTTTCCCACAATGCTATGAATCAACAATAAGTAGAATAATAAAAGAGTGTGTGAGAGCTCCGTAAGTCTGCAACAGTTTCAGTTATTTTTTACATTTTAATGCCTATTTTCAGAGAGCATGACAGCATCATGTGACAGCGGCAGAAAAAATAAAACTGCGTGTAATATTTTTGTTGCTGTTGCATTCCACTGTCGCACTCTGTGTAAATAGGCCTTTAATATGCAAGATATGTTAATAATTAATAGCATTTTCTTGATTAAGTAATTTGATGATGCTGATGGTGAAGTCTTGTTGATGATGATTATGATGATGAATGATAACAATGGTAAAATATTTTGTTTTCTAATTCAACAATTTCAGAATTTTCCGATATTTTTTTGACGTTATCATCACAATAAATGCAATCTGCATTGGTTTTCAATGGGACCAAGCCGAGTGGTTTTTCTTGACATTATTTACCTTAGAGATCGTCCTCAAGCTGTACACTTTGGGAGGATATCAGTTTTTCAGAAAACCTTGGAATGTGTAAGCATCTAAAGAAAAATATTTTTTAGTTTTTAGGAGGAAAATATTCTTATAATAGTCTTATAGAGTTGGTGATTGTAGGATTGAACAAAACATAGCCAAGTATACATCAGATATTTACAGAACACAAAAGCTTACTGAATTCAGGCCCATAAATAAGTTTCTGGGAGGAAAGGGGGGGGAGGGTGGGTGTGGCTTCTGAAAGGCAATTTTTAACTCACAGTTTTTTTCTCTAATAAAAAAGATTAATGCAAATTCTACTAAACTGGTCAAAGATGGCAACCCCAAACTCCCCTCCCCTCTGGTTATGGGCTTGCCTAATATTAAGTAATCAATTATTTGGTGAAATCTTTTCTGAATGTCAATCAAACTTAACAGACCAATCAGAACAAGGCTGAGAATACACAATGACCTTGAAAACACACCTGTGTGTGCATATGCTTTTAGGCCTAGTTCAGACTAGGTGGATAAACCTGGCTCAACTCACAGGGTTTATCTACCTGCCAGTCTGAACTAGGTGGCTTATCTCAAACCGGGCTGTGTTCCAAAACACACATGTCACCTCCCACAAATGTTTACATATATTATGTTATTTTTTTTGTGGAACCTTGGTAACAATATCCAAGGTCATTATTTTTGTATATGTGTATATACATATATTTACTGTATATGTATAGTACAGTAATTAATATTTAGGTATACACTAAAATAGAATCACTATGTGTAATTATAACAATGACTTTGGTTTCAGATTTGATTTCTTGGTGATAATGAGTGCATTAATAGCTAGTATTGTTGAGGTGGCACTTAATGATGGTAAGTTTATTGTCTATTCATATATATCTGTCTCTTATACACATCTAGATGTGTATAAGAGACAGTTTTTGGCACTGTTTATTTGTCGCTAGATAAAGCACTTAATTATGATATAATTTATATAATAAATTATAAAGTATTGCCCTTAAACGTATGTATTGTCAATGTACCTATTTAATGAATTAATGATATTTTAACATTAGTATATGTATTGCTTATAGGCCTAATGATCGTGAACAGTTTTGTAGACAAGAAAGTGCTTTTAATAAATAAAGAAATCCTTGAAAATAAAATTGAAAAGTGAGTTACCCTCACTAGAGAGATAACAAATATGTATTTTATATGGTTGATATGTTGAAAGTTATACTTATATTATGCAGCCCTATTAATTTTATTGATGATTTGTATTGAGTGAATGATTTTACTGATTGTATAATGATATATTGATGAATAAAACTTGTGGTTTACCACAAAATGTACTTTCATTTTTTTAATGTTTTATAATTTTTTTTCTAAGCTGCTTTGTCTGTTTTTCTTTACAGAAAGTTTAACTGAGGATACCTTGGATTTCTTGCTTGTTCTTAGAGTGCTAAGATTGGTCAGAATCATTGCAGAAATAGAAAGGCAAGTGATTGAAATTTGGTTGAGAAACAAGACAATACTAAATGATGTTCTGTTTACGTTACATAATAATAATAATAATAATAATAATAATAATAATAATAATAATAATAATAATAATAATAACAATGGTAGACTTACATAGCGCATATTGTTAAGCCCTCTATGCGCACATTATCATTACCCCGGTCATTGGATTAAATGCCTATGGAACACAAACTCTACCTCCCTAGGGGAGTACAGTATGCAGAATTTTGCAGCAGCATTTAACCCTACCAGGTTCCCACTTGAAATGCTGACCTGAGGTTGGGAAACCGAACCGTTTCTGCTGCACCAAACACTCTCACATAATCAGTACAGAGTAGTGTGAAGAAATTTATATCTGTTGCGTCTGCCAAAATTTCTTTTCTCTTTTTTTTTTCAGTTAGTGGGAAAGCACTGTTCTGTGGTAGGCATCTTATTTAGGGACTTGTTCCCTTCTTGCCTACCACACTCTTTACTTTTGAGGGAAATGAAATTATGAATTATGAACTATTTTATTGTCGTTGTTGTTTAATGATATTGCTATTTTTGTAAAAAAAAAATTTTACTTCAGATTTGAAGTCATCCTGGCAACCGTAGCAAATATTGGGCCATCAATCCTATCATTCGGCGCTGTCCTCTTTGTAAGTTTAATTTACTGAATTATGCATTTTGCTACTTTTATCTGTGTTATACTTCAGTTTAATATGTTAATTAAATGTTTTATTGAAAAAGTGCTGTCAATATGATTGAAATTTAGTGATAATATTTTATTTGATTTTATTATCAGCACTTGGTATTAAGTCCTACCAGTTACCCACTTATATTCCTGCATGAAGAGAAACAAACGTAGATGAAGTCTCCTGTTTAAGGACACAAGCGGTTTGCACTGCGAGGGTTTCGAACCCCAAACTCGGGCTTTCGATCGGCCTCAGTTACACAAGCCGCATATATTTTTATGCCTAATTACACTTGTTAACATATGCCATTTCTTAATTATTTTATGCTTTAATTCTGCATCTCGCAACAGGTTGTATATTATGTATTTGCCATCATCGGTATGGAAGTGTTTGGAGGGCTCATCACACATTATGGGTACCCGGACAAATACGATGATCCGTCTCAAGAATACTGCGGCAACATTAAACTTAAGGGGTCTGAGTTCTATCGTGAACATTACTGCCATAATAATTTTAACAACATTATCAATTCTATGATACTACTCATTGAACTCACAGTTGTTAATCAGTGGCATAATATCCTTTGATCATAATTATTGTTAATAAATAAGATTTATTATTATTATTTATTTTTGAAATAAAATTAATATTAGTTTTTTGTCAGTTTTTTTTTTTTAGTTTTTATTATTATGATTAATTGTTATTAATACATTTTTAAAATATCAATATTTTATTTGTGTTATATATTATTATTTTTTTTATTATTTTGTGTATTATAGGCCAGAGATAAGTGACCTTTTTTTATTCTCCTGATAGCACTAAAAAAATTAAGACCATTTTTTTTCTCAGAACACATATGTACCCATAGTACTACTCCAATCAATTTATTATTTTTATTACCATCATCAGCATTATTAATGTATTACTTTATTATTATTGTGAATATTGTTATTCTAATTGTTGTTCGGTTTTTTAATGTTATACGGCTAATGGTCGTAAATATGATGAAATTGTTTATAATGCTATTTTTATCTGTGTAATCTTAATTTCTAGAACTAGATAAAATTATTGTTATTACACACAAACTTATTGGCATACATAACAAATAATCTTCATAATTCTTTTGTTTTTTTCTTAACTTGTATTTACTAATAGCATCAGGATTTGTATTAGTTACCAACAAAGCTGCAAGATTGTTCTTCATTCTCTTCCACATGTCCGTTGTTATAGTCGTTATAAAGTAAGTACACCTACTGAGGGCAGCAGACTAAAGTGCTAATTGATAAACTAACTCAAACTGAAGAATTTCAAATAGTGAAAATCAAGAAACCCTACAATGATAATGTTAAAAATACCAGGCCATAGTGTATTACTTTATTATTATTGTGAATATTGTTATTCTAATTGTTGTTCTGTTTTTTTAATGTTATTCAGCTAATGGTCGTAAAATATGATGAAATTGTTTATAATGCTATTTTTATCTGTGTAATTTTAATTTCTAGAACTAGATAAACTTATTGTTATTACACACAATAACAAATTATCTTTATAATTCTTTTGTTTTTTTCTTAACTTGTATTTACTAATAGCATCAGGATTTGTATTAGTTACCAACAAAGCTGCAAGATTGTTCTTCATTCTCTTCCACATGTCTGTTGTTATAGTCGTTATAAAGTAAGTACACCTACTGACCCAAACTGAAGAATTTCACCTAGTGAAAATCAAGAAACCCTACAATGATAATGTTAAAAATAGCAGGCCAGTGAAAATTGCTACAATAATGCTTTGCTTGTGGTAATAAAACTTAGAGGGTATTCTGGTATTTTTGTTCTTGTATCCTATTGTTAACAGTGGTAGTACTCAATATTTCTATGAAATTACACTGTTTTTACACCACAAACGAATAAATATTCATTGTATAGAAGTGTTAAACAGTATAGAACTGGCTATGTTTTTACAGTGAAATTGTGGGTGCTGTCTCTTATACACATCTAGATGTGTATAAGAGACAGAGGGTGATCCATCCAGCATTGCTGATCATTAGGGGCCCTCAAAAATAAAGTTTACTTTGATGCTGCATCCATTATGAGGCCTAATACTTCATTGACAAATTTCTGTCATTATATGCCCATAATATGGGTATGATGATGTCATATCTCACCATATATGTGCAGATCACATGTATTTTTTCAAGACAACTCTATAGTGTGAATAGATCCTTTGGAGTGTATTTAGTTTTTAAAGGTGAGACAAAAAAATGATTTGAACCCAGGACCTTGTGATTGGAAGGTAACCCCCCCCTCCCTCAACCACCAAAACGCTCCACATATTTAAAAAATTTTTTTTGCAGCATTTTCATTGCATTCATTCTTGAAGTATTCATGGTGGAGTTCTCATTATCAAACAACAACTTTGAATCGACAGTGGAGTACCGGATCAACGAACTTGGGCTTGGCGTTACAGAGTAAGTTCTGTGGTATTTGTGTTAGGAGGCTTTTAAGCATTCAATAACTTCCGTACTTGCTCCTGACAGATCCAATATACTTTGTAAACTTTTTTATAGTTATAGTTTAATACAAATCTCCGATACATGGAAGAATATGGCAAAACAATATAATATAATGGAATATAAAAGCGCATTGAATTCGCTTCTTTTTAGGCCCCTTGAGGTCTGTCTATCTCATTGAAGCCATTTAACTCTAGTGTCAGCGTCAAAGGCTGTCATATTACAGGCCCGTAGCCAGCATGCTTCAAGGGGGGGTTCTGGGCGTGGGGTCCAGGGGCCCGCCAAAGGGGACTAAGCCCCTGTGGGGGCCGGGGGAAAAGCCCCCGAAGCCAGAGTATTAATACGATTTTAAAAGCATGTAAATGTCATTTAAATGCATGTTCATGTATATTTAAATACTTCTTACACAATTTTAAAAATAAGATAAGAAGACTACTTTTTCCAATACAGGATTTAGAACGTAAATGTTTATTGTGAAACAAACTTTTTTTTTTTTTATTGAAAAGCAATGCTTAACATTTTAATGCTAGTATGTAATGTTATCTCTAAAAATATAACTGTGATAAAATTAGCAATACCCACTAGGTGACTGTACAAAACACAGACCTTGCACAATATGAGATCGCTAAATACCAATATTAAAATATGGAGGTATGTAAAAGAGAAATATTGCAAATAATATTTTATTTATTGCAGAAATGAAGAAACAATACTAAATAGGAACTGACAGCCCTACATTTTACTTTTTTACCAAAATATCTTAAATGTTAAGTTCCAATGGAAATATATATAGTTAGGGCAAGGAAAATGTTATTATATTTAGAAGTTACAGAACCATTTATGTAAATATACTTGCACGGTAATATTGAAAAAAAAACCAGACATAATTATAATGCTACAAATGTACATGTTTAAGAACCAGTTTATGTAAAAAAACTTAGCACGGTGAAAATAAACAATAATTTAAGAGCTGTCTTGGTTTAAATGAGATATATTGAGAAAAAATAATAAATATATTATTATGAATAATGTCAGTTAATTCTGACGAAGCATGAAAACATTACCAAGTATATTTCCTTGCTAGCCTAGCTAGCCTAGGCCCTGGCCTATGCTAGCTCGATTACAAAATAAATAATAAAATCGTTCGCAAATAATAGGCCTCATAGCTACGACCCTACCCTACCTAGCAACGCTAGACCTAGGGCCTAGCCCTAGCCCGAAAAAGTATACCGGTCCCGCCGCCAGGCAGTATCATGAGCATGTGGTGAAAACAAGGGTGAATTTTCTAACTTCTTAAATTTCTTGAATTCTTCGTTGCTGGCCTTGAAGCAAAAAAATCGGTTATCCTTTCTCGGCGCTTCATCCTCCTAGGCTATTTTTGGCGTGTCGCATATCCTCGATCCCAGAGAAATGAAAAATGTTGAGCACCCAAACTTTTGTGATGACGTCGTGCCAAAGTAAATAAACTCCGGAGCACGCGATAGGTCAAATAGCCTAGGCAACAAACCTCTCATTCATTTTGAAGTCTTGCTGGTTACGTCATTCAGCTGGCTGCAGCTTTGTTTTGATTTCTACGATCGATAGCGACAATAATGCTCCCATTTTGTAATAAATTGCACTATTTTGGAAACGGGGGATCGTTTTCTGGCTAAGGGGTTTCGCTGGCAAAAGGGGGTTTCGTTGAAAAAGGGGGGTTCGCCCGAACCCCTAAAAACCCCCCCTGGCTATGGGCCTGTATTACAAACGTCATGCTTTACGTGTCCAATCTAAAGATTAAATACAGTTATTTGACACCCTGAGGGCATAAAATGGCAACATATACCTTTAAATTAGCATTTATACATATTTATTTTCTGATTAATCCATTATGCCCATGTTAATATCCTGAGGAACTCAACTTTGATTGGATGTTCTATTACATACTCATACAGTACATTATATACATAATTTTATTTGGTTCTACAGCAGTATAAACTGATAAGCATTACAAAGTATTAAATTACAAAGTAAATAGTTTACCGGCAAAGCTATTTTGATGCCTTGGCGCTGTGAGCATCTTCCCCATTGATCGATATGCACGCTGTATAAATAGCCAATTGATTAATTGAAGTGAAATGGCCGCTGGATATAAAAGGTATTAAACAATTGCAGTGAAAATATGCGACTACCTTTTTAAATACTCAAATTGTTAGATTTTGTTTCAGCACAGATAGTAATCTCTTGACTTCATACTGTGGGTGCTGTCGTCCATAAACCATAAACATGATCAGATAGCAACAATACCGCAATTGTAAATTTAGGCCAATAAGAACCTATTTATTTTTGCCTTTTATTGTGGGCTTAAGTTAAATACTATCGCTACTATTGACTTTTTTCAAAAATACTTTGAGTGGTTTTACTTCGTTTTCCTGCTTTTTTCCCCTCTCTATTTAAAAGATAAAAATTGTTTATAACAGACATGCTTATACAAGCATCTTCTTGGCATCATACCTGTATTGTTTGTGTATTTGGACAATGGTATCTTTGTGTGGCAGGGAAATAAACCTTTGATGATTAACTCTTTTTGCCAAGGACATATTGATGTTAAATTTGACAATTGATAAACTGGATTGATTTCATCTATTCATCCAGTTTGACCCAATTTAAAGATGGTTTTGATCATTGCGTGTACATTTTGTGGGACAATGTGACGTTTTTTAATCCTAAATTTTCACCTTGTTGAACCCTAGATGACTTTGCTGTGTTCATTATCAATCCTAATTCTCAGAATCTTCATCACCCCCTTCTCCTCTTCCCCTATCTTCTGTTTCCCTCTATTCCGTTTCCCTCTTCCCATTTATTAGAAAAAAAAAGGTTTCAGTCTATTAATTATTTTTTTTCATTTAATATTATTATTATTAGTATTATATAATTATAATCATCATTGTCATAATTTTGAGGATCATAAAAACTAAAGCGCACCAGACATTAATAAATGTTTCATATTACTTAGTCTAACTGTTAAAATCAGTAATGTCGGCCGGCACATTAGCTAGGTTCATATGGGATTATAGCCAGATGAAGTAGCTGATCTACTTGCCAAGTTAATTGGATTAAATCCAATAATCGCGTTCGACGTTAAGGTTTATAGAGCCAGATATTTTGACTACCAGAAATTCGGAAAACACATCATTAGACAGGAAGTACAATCGCATGGTGGGCAATTACTGTTGAATTTCGCGCGACTAGTTTATGCTAGATCGAGACTATAGGCGTAAGCTAGGCCTAGGTCTCGGCGGTTGATTAGACTGGCCGAGGAGTCTAGCTGGAGGGTTTACACTGGTTTTCCCCCCAAGTATTTCGTTTAGTGTGTGGTAGTGTGGGCATGCTGATTTCGGGTCATCCCTTATTACATTGGCCAACCTCTTGCCCGTCCCACGAATAAAAACGTCTCTCGCAGCCTTGTGTTTTGCTCGTAGATTTTTCAACTTTGTCACAACAATTGCCGATGTTATGCTATTGTGGCCTAAGTCCCACATTCTCTCTGCTATCCTTCCATGGACACCAGCCTTCTGACGATACAATTTATCTTTAACTTTTTCGGCGATTTCTGGCTCCCTTCAGATATCTATTAAATATTCCTGCGCATACGTCCAGAGATGCCGTTTCTTTACTGACATTTCGGCCATCATTTGCAAACTAAGACTTGTTGAAATTAAAGTACACAGATCAGGGAGACTGCGTCAATTCTGAATGGTGTTTATGACAGTAACTAAAAAACGCACTAACCAGCGAGCATGGAAGATCACTTTGCTTCAATTTGATTGGTGTATTCGTGACCTGTGGCCACCCACTGTTTAACTGTTTACTGGCTTTAGGCTGGATTAGGAAGTTAGTCGACATAAATTTACTCGACGGGCTTAGTCGAGTTGTGGCCTTCATCTCGCCATACTTGAGCGGTCATACTCAAACTTATGGCGATTATCTAGCTCATCCACTAAAATTATCTCACCATAGTTGGATATGAACGGGGCTAATGTGCACATAGAAACGCCATCAATTTTAAGTGGTTTGGTGCAACAGGAATGGTTTGGTTTCCCAACCTTGAGGTTAGGTTTTAAGTCCCTTGCTTCACTTTTTCTGCATTAATTGCTTCTCTCCACCCAGGAGTATAAGTGGGTACCTAAGGAGGTTTGAATGCAAAATGGGCTCATATATTTCATGCAGCAAACTATGGCATCGTTCCAATGACTGGGGTAATAATGTGGGAAAGCACTCTGAGACTTGTGTAGAACCTACATAATATTATTATTATTATTATTAATATTATTGTTGTTGTTGTTGTTGTTGTTGTTGTTGTTGTTGTTATTTTTTTATTATTCAATTTCTTGATGATTTCAGGATAGCAGAAGGAAAGTTTGAAGCACAAAGTCCAAAAAAGCGTTCAAAGGCGCGAGGGAGAGAGACCGACCAAGTGGACCTGGTTGATAATGGAGCACCAATCGCAAGTGAGGATGCACTACAGAATGGAGGACAAGATACGACTGAGGGAAACGCCGGAGCCAGAGATGATGGCGTACGGTTTAGACTTAAAGGCAGTAAGTAAATAACTACTTCATTAACTGGGTCTAGCTATTACTAGTAAGCAACTCTTACAGTGAAGTGTAACTTACACTCACAAATATAAATTACTGTATCATCAAATATTGTAAGCTAATTTTTTTAAATGTTTGCAGGATCTAGAAACGTTGAGGTCGTCTTGCAGAGGATGTTTGAAGGAGAGCTTGACAGCGATGACTTGGGCCCAGCCAACGTAACGAACATTGACGATCTCGAGCCAGAAGATATGACTCCTACTCCCCTTACATTTGAAAATATAACATAGCATCATTGTTGTATGGTTTTCTATGTTACATTACTAAATGTTTTCGTAAACTCGTCCCCACAACCAGCATTTACTTCCTCCCACTTATGAGAGGGATTCATAGTAATATCTATATTAATAATTATAGTTAATGATAATTATAATTATAATTTTTGTTATTATGATTATTATTATTACTAAGAAACTGGTTCATCTCCTTGTAGTATTAAAACGTGTTAGCTAGCCATAATCATGTCACTATAACCTTTGAAGCATATATATTATATACAACAATCTTTAAAAGGAAAAATTAAAATATTTAAAACTTAATTTGAACTATATGTTTCATTTAAATGAAATATTTAAGAAAAATTATATTGCTGCTCTAAATGCTGCTGAATGCCAATAATACTTTCATTATTTATATAAATGTGATGATAATATTCAGTATCATATCAAAAATGAAAATAAGATAAAAACATATGATTTATATGAATCGGGATGATATTATGATAATGTGAAAATTTAAAAAAACATGTATAATAAATGTTTTTAATTTGGAATAAGGTGGGGCTACCCACACAATAGAGAAAAAATCTATATTCAGAAAATTACATGGCTTTTAAAACAATGCAAATTACTAGGCTATATTCGAGCTATAAGAATGAATATACAAATTTTAAGTGTAGTTCACAGCCAGTGTTACCTTGTAAATATATGAAAATTGCAATAACAATAATTAATATATAAAAGATAGAATTTATAAATAATAATAGGAATAAAATGCATTTAAATTTTAAAATAGAAGTTAATAATTTATCAGTATATTTATTTCCAAAGAATTGTTTAAATATTGATGAAATTAATAGGGTTTTTTTATTATTCAAATCCTTTATGTATATTAGATTATTACTAATTTAAAAATGTTTTCTAATGCTTGATATATTTTCATCATTTAGATTATTGTATTCTTTGAAATATATATATATATAGTAATTTATGTATACTCTCTATAAGATTATTCTGGTTCACGCAGTTCATGCTCTGTCTCTTATACACATCTAGATGTGTATAAGAGACAGTATATATATGTGTGTGTATACTCTCTATAAAAAGAAAGATATTATATATACAGTAATATATGTATATATACATATATTAAATGTCGAAATCAAAAATTCAACACTAGTCGTAAATATCGATATTGTGATGAACTCTAGAAAAGTGTCTTACCTAAGGTGGCACAAAACAAAGAACGCACATGTTTTGAACTTGATTCCACCCCACACCCACCAGTTTACAATTCCTACTTGTCCAGTAACATTCCCTATAATAATGATAATTGCTTATAATGATGAATACTTATGATGTTCTAACTCATGCTGGTAGGTCCTCTAGCTTAAAGTGTTCAGTTCTATTACATATTTTTATTTTTAAAGTTTAGTATAATAATCCTCCAACGTCTAGGTATCCAAAAAGCAATATAAAAACAGTATATTAACAAAGGCCTATGTTAATTAAGTTTGATTTGTGTCCAAACTGTTTTTTGAGATTGATTGTGGGTTTTTTTTTTTTAACAATGGACTTAGACCCAAAAGTTACTGTTCAATCAAGATTTTGTGTGTTAGTCATTTTAAAATGAATATAATTTTTATGCGCAAACAAATGCAAAATGTAATATTTGCAAATTATGAAGATGCTACAATACATCAAATAAAAAATAAAGAAATACTCTAACATTTGTCTTCGTGTTTGTCTTAAAAATTATTGAATATTATTATCATCGTAATGGCATGCTAATCCTGGCGCTACCCCTGATACTAATCAAGCTAAAACAATTATGTTACTGCTAATTTTCAACTACTAAAGTTTCCATTCAAATTTCGTTCTATATTTATATAGGCCTAATTGAAATTGTAAGAAAAAATAAGATATTTTGATTGGATTGGATTATTCTGGTTCACGCAGTTCATGCTTCGGTGATTAACTCTTACTCTTTGGTGTTATCTTAAGTTTGAAATCCTTTGAGCATAAACATGATAGTATTCATCAAAGTAATTCAAATAAACTTTTATTTCGGAATTGCATATTCATAGCGTTAAACACAATGACCAAATTACATGAAAAGAAAGAAATATGAGTCGAATGGCCGAGCGGCTAAGGCAGGGGCGCCGCAACGTACAGCCATAATATCGGTGCTAGTTCGAACTTAGAGGAGAAAACAAAATAAATGTACGAGCTAGTCCACACCTCGAGCGCTTTGAGACCCTAACCGAACTATGCATTACCGGGGTAGGGACGTTACTCCGCTAAGGTCCTAATGACCCGCATACCCCACCCTAACCGAACTACGCATTACCGGGGTATGGGGCGTTACTCCACTGGAGTCCTAATGACCCGCATATTACACCCTAACCAAACTATGCATTCCTAATGACCCGCATACCCACGGCCTATTTTATGCACACATTTTTGCAAAAAATTTTATTTAAACTAAACTAAACGATTTATCAACTGATTTATATAGGCCTATCATATTATTACAGGCCTATTATATGATATGATATTTATTAGTTTAATGTTTTGACATTTTTATCAGAAAAAGTATGAAATGTTGTAATAAAAATTCAATGACGAAATAAATGTGCAAAAGAGAAAGAAGAAAAGGTTTGAATTCTCACATTACTGCACTCTGTAAAAAACTGAATTCTATAGTCTACTTACTTGCTCGTACCGCAAAATTTACCAACACTTCCTCTCTTCACCTCATTTAGATTATATATATATATATATTCTATTCATTTAATATTTATTTATTAATCTATCATAATACGTCTAAGATCAATAGAATCAATTATCATAAACGTTATCAAACATGTAGGTTGTATATATGTATATATATACAGTATATATATATATTTATATATTTATATATATTCTATTCATTTAATATTTATTTGTTAATCTATCATAATACGTCTAAGATCAATAGAATCAATTATCATAAACGTCATCAAACATGTAGGTTGTACGATTCGTCTGTTCAGAATTCAACTATCCTCTCGTCGGTCGCCCTCTCCAGTTCCTGTATGGTTGAATCGGTTTTAAGGTTGGCGAGGGTGCCTTCGTCGCGATCAGTGTGACCACTACTTGGGTATTTACCCAAGATCTTGGGTATTTTGGCTTGGTCTTGGGTTCTTGGGTATTCCGTTCAAATCCTTGGGTATTTTTTTTACTAAGAAAATTAAATATTTTTGTCATAGAGGAAGAATTAAGAAGTAACAAAGTATATTTCAGTCCATTCAAGTAAGCAAAA